AGGATGCATAAGAAGGGATGCAATATAATAACTATATTAGGCAAAACTTCTGCATAAAGTGCTTTGATTTTATTGCCCTCGTCTTGTGGTTTCAGTAGAACAGTTTTGATATGCTTCAAAAGCTGCACATATACCAGCAAAATGTTTGTAATCCCCATGGCAACTGTATTTTCAAATCACAGTGCACTATCCCCAAACATTTAACCATTGTTATGTGCCAGTAGTTGCTGGGAGAAAAGATATTCTGTGTAAGAGGACTGTCCACAAATTGCAAACCACCACCACAACAAAGTACGTGTCGGAGCCAGCCGTTACAATATTACAAGCCTTTACCGTGGCTTTATGACTCCCACAGTACGTACATTACATGACAAAAGGTTCGCTCAAATTGGAACTACATTATCTTAAATGCAAGTGGTCTGAACTGAAAGAGCTTTGGGATCATGTTTTTAAAATTGTAACTACCTGCTGCTTTGAAACCAATTTTAGGTACACTTACGTTGAAGTAAATCCCACTGCAATCAGTGGGATTTACAATGCGTTTTTAGTACTGGTAGCAGTGGCATTCTATGGGACAGTCCAAACCAGGTGTATACAGAAGTAAGTCCTATTGAATCAGTGAGTCCTCCTCTCTGGTAAGTGGAGTTACTACCGCAGCCCTAGACATTTAGCATGAAGCTAATTCCACAGATCTGTATGTATCTGTATTGAGGCACTGATCTCATGCCATTGATCTTGGTTATTTTATTGACGCCAAGCACTGCAAAGCTATCCCTGGGTAAGTCTGCAACTCTATTCTTGCCCTAGGGGAGCTTGATGGGCTTTCAATGATAATTCCTTTATTTATAGTCCCCAAGGGCTCCCAGAGCACCTTACTAAAGATTTACACAATAAAATAAAATTCAGTAAGAATTGCACACTTAATCAGAAATAACCCTGTGCCAAGGTTATTATGGCAATATTTTTTTGCCCTCAGTTTTGGTCCAGGCAGCAGGACCACTGGGGATCTCTGAAGTGAGCGAGGTTGAGAAGGCTAGACCTTGCTTAGTCTTCCCTTGCCAGTATGCTTTATTCAGACCAGCCATTATACTTTTTCTCTCTCTAATCTAATGGATAAACATGGCTGTCTAAAGTTTGTTTGCTCTTGGCATTTATGTCAATGCAAATAAACGGACAAAGAAATGGCCTCGCAATCACTCTTATAAGCTGTTCTTCTGGCAAATAAACATTCAGGATGGAGTGAAAGAGCTGCCACATCAATGCAGCATTATGACATGTCCTACAGTATCTTGACAGAACAACAAATGGTCCCATTCACAGTACAGCGACATGAATCATCATTGTTACTGAGGCAAAGCTGTCACTGATCTACAACCCAGAATTAGATGGACAGTAAATTATGCTGGCGTGGATCACTCTTATTTCTGACACCTTGATGTCATTTATTGTGAAATCACTTTGATATATCCTACGGAAAGTGATTAATAAATCTAAATAAATATATTTAGATCAGAAACATCTACACACCCTTGTTGTTCCATAAGCTGTTTTCATAGCTATACCCTCCTCAGTTGCGCAAGCAGGAAAATAGGTCATCATTCATTTCTGTTCCCTGCTGGACAATCTTGTTACCCTATACCAGCCTTATAGTATTTGTGATATGAAGCTCCTGGTTTCGACAAGAATACTGGAAAACAAATCTTTACAGTGTTAAGATTTTCCCAAAGCTGTTCTGCAGGAAGTGGACAAGCTAAGCGTGGATGTGGCCTACTTCATCTGGACTGCATACCATCTGAAATTCTGTGCAAGGCGCAAGGACAGCATGCAGATAGGTTTCCAGCATGTATTTGGGGTCTTCAGGATCTTTCAGGGAGTCTTCAAAGTTGTTGTTGTTGTTTCAATTTATATACCGCCCTTTATAAAAGATCGCAGGGTGGTATACAACATTACAGAGCATCCATAATAAAAAGCTTAATAACAGACAGAATAATAATAATAATAATAATAATAATAATAATAATATCATAATAACAGCCCCCTACTAGCTTTAACAGGCCATAGATTATTTAATGGCTAAAAGCCTGGGTAAAGAGGAATGTTTTTGCCTGGCAGCTAAAGACATGCAATGATGGCACCAGGTGAGCTTCTCTGGGGAGAGCATCCCAAAGTCGGGGGGGGGGGACCACAGAAAAGGCCTTTTCTCTTGGCGTCACCCTCTGGATGTCTTGGGGAGGGGAGACACAGAGAAGGGCCCTGGATTACAAGCGCAGGGTCTGCGTTGGTTTGTATGGGGACAGGTGGTCCTTAAGGTATTGAGGTCCTGCACCATGTCCTGCACTTTCCAGGCATGGTAGAGAAATAGGGGAGACACTGATGAACCTTAATGACACTGCAACTTCCAGGACTGGTGCCCTGCTCCCTACAGACTTGAAGTGCCCCTATGTTTGCAACCCACTACCTGGCCAACATCACTAAAGGTATGGTGGGGGACTGCTGTTACGATTAATTTATTATAAAATGTGTTCTTAATATTGTCCACCACCTCGTGATCTTTTGATAAAGAGTGGTATATAAATCATCATCATACTATGGTGCAATTGCTGCTTCCCACATGCTCCTGCCACTTGGTCCTCTGCTAACCCAGAGCTTCCTCTGTATCTGGTAAAGGCTGTAAAGGTATCTGAAATCTTAAGACATTTGTGTGGATTTGGAAGAGAGAAACTACTTTGGGAAGTGACTGTCCTTAATAAGGACTCTCCAGAACTTAATCAGGTGTGTTCAGATTGTCTGCATGAAAGTTTCAAGCTGTCCAGCCTGTACTGGTGGGATGCTGGTCCAATCCAACCTCCTGGGTATTGAGGAATTGCTTCACAGTTCCCTCTGCTTACATCTGTGATTTTGTCCGAGAATGTGCCCAGCAGCTGATGTCTCTAAACTAACTTCTGTCTTCACCATCAAGGGGAGGAGTAGCTCAAAGATACATGTTCAGAGTTATAATTGTGCATCTTTCTAAGTTGCTTTGCTCTCATGTGGATACTTCAACTTCCCTGATGCCATCCCACTGGGGGTCAGCTTATTAGCCTGCACTCCTATCTGCTTGAAGGGGAAACTGGAAGGAACCAATGCAATGCATAGGTGATACTCCACAATCCAATGGAAGTACTTCTCATTGACCATCCTGGTCATTTGTTGGGAAGAGGTACAGTGTATGCCTCTTTCTGCAGATAATTCAAAATCACTGCGCAGAAGTACCATGGCGGAATAAATAGACATGTAGGGTTTTCCCTGCAGAGAACATATGGGAAATACTTTGGATAAACTTTGAGAGAAAACCTTTGCTGTGAACATGTTTATATAAATAGGCTTTGTATTTGCAAATCATCTTTTAGAAAAGTGGCTATGGGGCTTACACATGTATTACGCAACTGGGTTTCAATAGAATGGGAAAGAGCAAAGGGTTCTGAGCTCAGCCCAGAGGCTCATGTTGTTTAAATAAATGTATACAGTAATCGTAAGCAAGAGAGCAAAAGTATCCAACATAGCCTACACAGAAGAATGCTTGCCATGGTATTTTATAAGCAGCCCATAATAGGAAGGGAATGTGTCAAGCGATTTTTTTATGGCTCGTATGTTGGGAGTTTATACAGCCAGTCATGTTTTTGTAACAATATGGAGAAAAATCACCAAAGCCTAAGTGTTGGAAAAATAAAGTTTCTTTTCATGAGACATGGAGAAAGTGCAAAAAAAGAGATGGGTAGATAGATAGATAGACAGACAGACAGATATTTAAAAATCTATTTTGATTTTACATTGTTGCAACAAGTGGCAAATCTAGATCCAGGAAGTACAAATTTTCAAGGTACTTTGAAAGAGAGCTAATCATTTGAAGTCAGTGTTCGAAACCTCCATTATTCTAGGCACATTTTGCGACAGGAAATTTCATTAGTGCAAGCAGTTTCTGAGCTCTGGGTGCAGTACTGCACCCAAGATTTCAGATTAAAACTGCAGAGTGGAAGAAATGGAGGACCCTCTTCTGCCTCCCCACCTCCAGCCACTCTCTGAAGACTGGAGAAGAGACCCTCTTAAGAATATTTGGGGGGTGGGGGTGGGCAAGGGAAGGACTAGACCATGTGAAAAATTAACATAATATTTCAGCTGCAGTTCATTCATTTTCAGCTTTGTATTCGTTATAAAAAAAATGTGCCTAGACATTCCGTTGTTACACCTATAACATAAGTTTAAGGTGCCATGTAGCTCCTAGCTTTCATCTCTCAGTTTCTAACACTGTTTGAAGTGCAACTTGCCAACTTTGGTCATGAACCTATTTTGGGTGTTAGGGCTTAGCTTCTAAACACCAGAAATAGGCAAAGATGTTTCTAACTATGTAGGAAGTACTTTTCTTACACCTGTGAATAAGAGCACTTCTAGATCATTGCTTCCAGTGCTTGCATGCATTTTGTTTTTTTTAAAAACAGAATCCATACAATGTTGTTGGCATCAAAATGCCAAACTGCTATTTTTGGGCCCCGTTTAATCTGGATTTACCCTTTCTACGGAAGATCAGATAAGCAACAAAACAAAACCCTGTTGCAAATGAACTGTTTGGAAATTAAGCCCCCTGCAAGCATCCCAAGATCGGGGAGAACTTGTGAGGTTGGTTTGACTTCTAGACCAGTAGGAATTCTTCCCCCACTTCTCACTTTTAGGTATACCGATTCACACGATGCCAGGTAACTACTAGAATGGAGAGAGGGATGGAGAGCATTTGCAAATGCCACCCACTCCTTTATTCACATTTAGACCAGGGCAACTCCCAGGTTCCAATTCTCATAAGAAGAAGAACCGTCCCGTTTCCTCTACAATATATAAAAAACCTCCGAGGAGACGCAAAAGGGGGCGGAGTAGGAGGGCCACCTGCAACGCACTCCTCCTTCGGATCAAGCCCTGCTCCGACATCGACCAGCACCGCGCTGTGAAATCCAATAGCTGTGGGACAGCGACCTGACAAAAGATTCCAAGCGGCGGCGCCCATTGCGCAACTGGGAAGGCGGGCAACGCAACGCGCGGGGCTGGTCAGCCTCAGAGCGCGGCTGCTTGTGGAGCCTGTGCGGAGAGAGCCAAGCCTCCCTTTCAGGTGGGGGCCCCGGCCGGGCCGGCGGGGGGAGAGAGAGAGAGAAGGAGCGAGGAGGGCGAAGCGCCCGCTGCATCCTCCTCCAGCCAAATTAGGCTCTAACCGCCGAGTTCACTTGGCGGGAGCGGGGCCAGGAGGACAAGCACGCGGCCACCGAAGCCACACGGGCGAGGAGGAGGGAAGCGCGCGAGCCGCCTGTTGAGGCGACAGCAGTAGCAGCAGCAGCAGTAGCCGCCTCTCGTGCCGGCGAGGTGCCTGAGGGAGGGAAGGGTGCGCTCCCGCCGGCTCCACAGCAGCAGCGCCGGAATAAAAAGCGGCGGCGGCGGCGGCGGCGGCGTCTCCCTCCCTCCTCTCTCGCTAACTCTTCTCCCGCCGCCTCAGCGCAAGCATGCGAGGAGCAGCCCCTCGCGGCGGCCCGGAGGACGAGAGGGTGGCGGCAGCAGCAGCAGCTCCTTGAGGCGCCTGGGGCTGAGGGGAGTTCTCCCGCCTCGCCGCCGGGATGTCGGCGCACAGCCTGCTCAACAGCGTCTTCTCCTGCTCGTCCTCGCCGGCGCCCGGCGCCTCGCCCTCCTTCCCCCCGAAGAGCCTCTCCAAGCGGAGGCTCCGCCAGACACGCAGCCTGGACCCGGCCGTCATTGGCCGCGGGGAAGAGGCGGCCGACGGCTCGCTCCGCGCTCCCCGGGCCAGGGCGGTGGCGGCGGCGGGCAGCCCTTCGGCCGAGTGCTTGGCGGCCTTCTCTTCGCGCGCTCTGCTGCGCCCGGCCGCTCCGCCGACTCCGCCGCCGCCGCTCTCGACGCCCAGCACCCCGCTCGACAAGTCGCCGTCGGGCAGCTTCCACTTCGACTACGAGAGCCCTCGAGGCAAGAGGCACACCGCGTGGGAGCTGCCCTTCCTGGCGCGCGCGCCCTCCGCCTCGGCGCTCGGCAGCGTCCCCGGCGGCGGCGGCGGCGCCAACAGCATCTTCTTCTCTCCCCGAAAGTGGCTCCAGCAGAGGAAAGGCCAGCAGCTGCCCAGCAGCCATGCCTCCGCCTACGTCGTGTGGAAATCCGAGGTAGACAACTGGGCTTTGCTGTACTTGGTCCACAGCTTCCCTGTTCAGTCTCAAGGCCTGTGGTCAAGGTCTGGGTCTGGGCGGAGGTCCCCCCAATAAAATATTTGAGGGGTCCGCCCCCTCCCAAAGTTGATAGGTAAAGGTAAAGGGACCCCTGACCATTAGGTCCAGTCGCAGACGACTCTGGGGTTGCGGTGCTCATCTCGCTTTACTGGCCGAGGGAGCCGGAGTACAGCTTCCGGGTCATGTGGCTGGCGAACCAGAGCAGCGCACAGAAATGCTGTTTACCTTCCCACCGGAGCGGTACCTATTTATCTACTTGCACTTTGATGTGCCTTTCGAACTGCTAGGTTGGCAGGAGCAGGGACCGAGCAACGGGAGCTCACCCCATCACAGGGATTTGAGCCACCAACCTTCTGATCAGCAAGTCCTAGGCTCTGTGGTTTAACCCACAGCGTCGCCCGCGTCCTAAGGTTGATAGGCCAGTCAAATAGTGTGCTTGTGCCGCATCAGGTGACCAATTACGCAGGGCGGGGCTTACCTGCCCCCCATATTTTATTCAAGTAGGCAGCCCTGGGGCTGCCCACTTGCTGAGAGTGCCTTGGCTGCCCCCTCCCACTGAATTAAGTACAGAAGGTGGGGGTCCAGGTCACAGGGTGATGGCTTGGGGGCAGGGGTGCCAACTTGAATAAAATATTGGGGGTCCAGGTAAGCCCTACCCCACATGATTGATCACAAGACATCGCGTACGCACACAATTTAGATGGCAATGCCCACTCATTTTGGGGGGAGCAGACCCCTCAAATATTTCACTGAGGGTGACAAAGGGACCTTGGCCTTCAGGAGTTGACTGCTATGTTTGGGGGGGCACAGGCCCTCTCTTTGCAAGTTAACCACTTTTTCTTACACTTCATGTCTCTGATTATGGAATGGCAAGCATGGACAGTATTGGGGGCTGAAGAACTGTGAATTGGGAAATATCTGTTTCCAATTTTCTCTTCCGTGAACTCACTACGATCTCTGGGAAAGCACTGAAAGGCAGTGGTTCCCAGTTGGTGGCTCTGGACCCCAGGGGATTTGTGTCACCATTCACATAACAAAAAACTACCCTAGAGATATCAACTGTTGCAAAAGTAAGGGTTCCATAGCTTGGCTTTTGAAAATAGTTTGCAGTACTTTGCTAATTGGGGACCACTGCACTAAGGCATATCTTACTTGCACCAAGTTAACCTAGGTATCAGCCCGAAGTGTAGACCTTTCCCTTTTCCCTTCTGTCTTCTTTAAGTGCTTTGTCTTAGGTTTCTATATTTAGTATTTTACAACGACAGATTCTGGGGCTGTGGCATGTCTGGATGTTCCCCTGTGGCTTGATTCCTAATCCCATTATATATAGGAGTGCTTGTACTGAAGAGGGGAAGATGCTCAGAACATGCTTGGTAGCATTCATTTTTTTAATATGGAAGATTTGCACATTCCACAAGACCAAGCCATGATACTGGGTAGGATCCTAGTAAGCCTTGCTTGTATTTCCATGGGTGGTGGTGTTAAGTACTTCTGTGGTGTATATGTCAGTATTTGGGAACAATGTGTTGCCCTGTATTGTGGCCAGTTCCACTATCCCCACCCCCCGGTCATTAGGTTGTGTTACATGTTTCAATGACTCTGCCAGTTGCTCATAATTAAAGTTGAATTATAGAAGCTTGAACATTAAAAAAATCTTCACGCCATTCCATCTCACCAAGCGTACAATATGCATATAGCACTGTTATACGTAGTTGTCTAAAGGCAGATAGCCCCTCTAAATCCCTTATGTATGACTTGCTGCAAACCTGTTCAGACAGACTCAAGTGTGAATTGGTTGCTGTCTGAAGAGGCATAAAAGTGACAGGGCACTTTTCAAAAATGGGTGTTTTTATAACAATGTAGTTGAAGTTACTGATAGCCGACCATCTTCACTGATTGTCATCTGCATCAATACTTAGCTATGTTTGGTTAGTTATCATTTATATTTTGATGTGCTGCAGGTAGAGAGTAGGGATAGACAACACGTGCAAAGCAAAATGTGCATCCTTTGGAATTGTTACAAGCGTTATTCTTTATTTAACTTGTGTGCTGTTCTCACTGAAGTGAGAGAACAGTAAGAAGTAGTAGGCTGGTTTCTCTGAGGATGGAAAAGACAGAAAAGGGAATAATATGGATATGTCCTTCAGTAATTTGCCAGTCTTGTGAAGGGCAAGTAGTCCATGTAACACTGTTTGTAAAATGTGCTTAGGACATGTAGAATTTCCTGGTGCTGAACACATCAGTTCAAGTAGTGGATAACTTTGAACTCATGATTCCTTTCCCAATTATTGTTTAAGTTTCTATACGTCTACTCTAGGTTGTTCTATATGAATTATAATCGTAACATTAGGAGCATGGGTTGTTGTTGGACTTCCATTAATGAGAATGTTTTGGCTCTTGGCAAAAGATCTGGAGATGAGGCTGTTCTGAACGCTCAATAGAGCTGTGCTTTCTCCGCATGTAGTTAAGTATGTCTGTTGGCTGAGGACTAATCCTATCTATATCAATTGGGAACTGTAATATGTATCAGAGCAACTGAAGCAGGTGTGCTAACTTACAGGGTAATTGACTGAAAAAGAAGTGATTTAATATGGCACATGTTCATCACCTTGCTAGATGGTAAACGGCAGCCCCTTGAGTGTAACCCCTCCCAAATAATTGTTAAAATGTGTGAGATATACCTTGGATGGTACATTGCTGGGGTCCAATTATATTCAAAGGCACTGCATTTTTTGAGCCATGTAGATAGGTAAAAGCACTTCTGTATAAAGGTATTTGGGCTAAGGATTGTAACTTTGTTTCTTATGCATTTCTAAACCTATATTTCTGCCTTATGGGAACCAAAGGATAAATCGGAGGATATAATCAAATATAGTTTCTGTGGCTGGATACAACTCCTCAAAAAGCATAAAGAGATTTTTTTTTTGTTACCCCTCATATGTATCTACTTTTAAGTTCCAACTGAAGACAATTATTTAAGCTCACATTGAAAAGTAAGCTGTCTGTTTGTAGGGTCAATTGCTATACCCTTGGTTTATTCCATATATAGTTGTAATGCGTACATAAAACTTTCCTCGCAAATGATTAACTGTAAGCATGCATGACCCTGGTAGGATTAATTATTTCTGCTGTATTCACTCAGGCCATTTTTGTAAACTATGTGGTAGTACAATATTATTACGTACTGAGGAAGCTGTGGTGTACTCTGTCATGTTGACAAGTATGCAGAGGTTCATTTAGAATTCTTGGGTGCATATATACTAACCTACCTCTTCTGGGTGGAAAGAGTGCAAATATCCCTCCCAACTAATTTTGACTATATATGGATGAAAAATAGTTGCAAAAGTAAGAGTAACACTCAGTCAAACACAATAAGGTTGATAAGTTACTGTATTTTATTCAGAGATTTAGGAAACAGGCACAAACTCTGCTGTGATGCATACAAATATATACAGGTATTGAAATAGCTCTGCAGACCTAGCATTCCCAGGCAAAAATGGCTAGCTTTGCCTGCAGTGCAGTTACTAGTATTACTTGAATGTAAGTAAGCATTGCTAAAATTGGAGAGACTCGGAATATGTTCACATGACCCCATTAGCCTGTGATAGATCCAGTTTTTAGTTGGCCTGTACAGTGATGGGGGATGAAGCAATTGCATACACATTGCAGCCATAAGCAGCCTTCCTTGGGTTTTTGAATCATAGAATTGTAGATTGGGAAGGGACCACGAGGGCCATCTAGTCCAACCCACTGCAATGCAGGAACATTTTGCCCAATGTGGGGCTCGAATCCACAACCCTGAGGTTAAGGGTCTCATGCTCTACTGACTGAGCCATCAGTGTAGCATTCTTAAGTGAGCTGTTTAGATGTAACTTTCTTAAGTAAGTTATTTTGCAGGCACATACTGTAAGATTCAGTAGTAAGTGAAGAATCTTTGCAAGCAGAAAAATAAAACATTTGTCTACTTTTAGGGTGCTTCAACATTGTCACATCCTGGCAGATTATTGTCACACAGTCAAAGCTTATTTGAAGCTCTTGCAAAACAAACCAGCTTCCCCAATAATCATACTTTTTACGATAAGACCAGTGACAGTAAGATGCACTGGAAAGTGTGGGATAACACTTTCTTTACAAAATGTCATTGAATTTCCTCACAAACAAATAAGGATGAATGCCCATTAAACAGGTCAGCGGGAAAGTCTGAACAGGTGATCAGCTACCACTGCCTCCTTTTTTCTTTTGCAAAGAGCTGCTCATATGAGTAGTCTTTTCAGATGAGTTGTATAATATTGGAGTTGTAAAATCATGTAATATTGCCGTTCCTCTTCTGTCAACTTGCAGTTCAGAAAGGAAGGTGTAGCTCCCATGACTTAGTTGTTGCCACATTAGCAACCAAGCAGGTTTTTATGTTTTATGTGCAAAAGATGGTTGGTTATCAGCTCTGACCCAAAGAGGATGGAATTTAGGTGCTTCAAAACCATATTGGAATTTTTGTAGCTATATAGGCAATACAAAAGGGTGTTGACTCTTTTATTCACGAGTAGAGAAACTAGTAGATGTTTGTCTTCTCTAATCCACATGTCAGATTTTTTATTAGGCAGCAATCAAATTTTATAGGCGCAGCACAGCTTCAGTAGCAGGAACACACAATGAGATATTGCCAAAGGCAATTGGGTTTAAATGTGAAATTATTGATTGTAATTATTCTAAGACAAGACAGGAAAATGGAGGACTAGATCCTACATGCATTTACAGACTACACAGCCTTACACTTTAGAACATCCAATATATGATACATAAGATGGTTTCTTGGTAATTGATGTAAAATCCTGGCACAGGTGATGGCTGCACCCCCTTGTCCTGCTTCTTTCCCTGATGGATGCAAACTGCTTGTTAGGACTTTAAGCATGAATGATGTAACAGATCCGTATTTCAAATTTTACACTTGTCTGTGATCTTGCAGATGATCTGGTCAACAATCTAGCCACCTGCTTTCAGGCATGCTATGCATTGTTATTGATGAACTTCAGAGATGTAGTTGTGCGTGAACTTCTGATGCTAGCTGCATGCATAATTCTGACTGAAGGTCAATGAAGAGTGTTGCTATCTAAACGTGGTGGTTGCTGAAACAGGAATTTGTCCACCAGAGCAGCTGACAGTTTGCTAATGCATCAGAACCAAGTTGCCACTTGCAGAAAATTTCCTCTCCTTTTTACTACTGGTGATTCACCCAAGTGTGTGGAGGAATTCCTACTTTACTACTGCCATTGCCTTGCCATCTGCTTTCAGCCTACCCTCCCAGATTCTTCTTCTGGTCTGCAGTCCCAGACAGTCACACTCTCACACATTGACGGAACTGACCTTTTATGCCTACACTTTGACAAATAAGATTTGAATGGCACAGAATTCTTTCTCCTCATCAAACCACTTTTTCTGTCCAATGGGTGACCAAGAATTTCTATCCATCAAGCCAACCAGAAGTGAAATTTTATACTCTTCTTCCTCTGCATAAAAAGAACCCAGCTTCTCCCATACCTCTTACAAAACTAAGTAGCAGCTAACTGCCAGCCAGAAATGGGTGCTTCACATTTTAAGCTTAACCTTTCTCAGGACCCCACAAACATGGTAAACATTGTATACAGAACAAACCTTGTCTCAGTCAGCACACTGTAAAAGTGATTCCTCTACACACTACTACAAGCCACCTTGGTTGTACAAGATATGAAGCCAGCAAGATTTTTAATTTCTTAGAATTTTTTTTGGGGGGGGTATTTAGGAAAAGGCTGTAGTAGGTTGACCTAGGACCTGGGCTAAGTTCCTGCTCAGCCATGAAACATACTGGGCAGCCTTGGGCCAGTCGCTGTCTCTCAGCCTAAACTACCTCACAGGGTTTTTGTGATGATAAAACGGAGAGGAAGAGGACCATGGATGCCACCATGAGCTCCACGGAGGAAATGTGTAATATAAATGTAATAAATAAAAAAGGCAAACTTACCTGTGGGTAAGGTGAAATCCTTAATATCGTTGGACTTATTATTTTGGGGTTAGCCAACATAGTGCCTCCCAGATGTTTCAGGCTACAACTGTCACCATCCTTGATAATTGGCAATGCTGTCTGGCACTGATGGGAGTTGCAGACTAGTAACATCTGTAAGATACAGTGTTGGTTATACCCTTAAGTTGGAGCGGAACATGATTTCCTTAGGATATTTACTAGAACTTTACTTGCACATCTATTTTATAGGCACTTTGGATGATATGAAACAGACCAGCTAAAAATCCCTCAAATGAAGTTTTCAGTCTTCCTTAGGTGTGCCATTAGAAACTCCTGCTGCTTCTATAGACCACAGATTGTTTTTGAGTTGTCAAGATGTGTATTCTCAGGACAGTCTTTCTGCTTTTCATTAACTAGCATTGGCTGGATGAAAGGCAGGTGAGGCTCAAAATCTTGAACAAGCAGATTGTGAGGAGTACTGCTGTAAAATTAAAACACAGACTTTATGTATTGACTGTCAATTGACTGTCAAGTAGATTCATACGTCTGTGGAAAACGATTTGAGGGTGAAAGATATAGATAGAAATTTGCTTGATTATTGTCTCCTTACCTGTGGTATTCTACCCCTACCCTTACCTGTTCCTATTCGCAAGTTATTTTTATGACCAGCTATCTACACAAAAGGCTTTTATGGTCCTCAGATTTCAAAACAAGTCCCTCATAATGATTAGAAGGGTGATACTGAAGAGCAACTTTTTCTGCATCTTGTGGAGTCATGACAGTTGTACATTGTGTACATTGCAGAATCCATGGGGAACCCACAAAGGAAATTATTGTGAACCTGATAGGAAGATACCTCAGGCCCTGTTTTGGGTGTTCAGGCAGTGTGTGGGTGGAGTAAGTGTGCAGAGGGTATAGAGTTTATATCCTATCTCCAAAGTTCTTGTCCTGCATGTGCACTGCTCCTGCCCCAAACATCCATATCCAGCATGTGCTACCTTGACTTTTCCATGTTGAGCAGAAGAATGGGGCTTCTAAGAGTGTTTGAATGAATGTGCTTAGAAGCGTCGGATTTGGACCCTTGATAACATTGGATTCTGGATCAGTTAGATGCAGTTTCGAGGCCATTTCAAACTTTTGTACTTAGTTTGTGAGAGTCTCCTGTGGGGATGTGGATACTGGGAATGGGGCTTTCATGCACCGCATTCATGCCTGTCAGGGAACTGACATCGGAGCTAGAGGCGGAGGGAAGGCTCTCAAATGATGCTGGAGAAGGGCCCAGCAGGGAGAGAGGCAGCTCAGCAGATGGGGAAGCAAATCAGCGCAACACCAGGGATAAAAGGGGCAGATGGGGAATCGGCGAGAGGGCTCCAGGACTCTTCACCGGACACCAGCGGGGAGAGCACGGGTCCTCCGCTACCCACGCCCTCCCTGCGCAGAAGACTTCCGCGCAGGGAGAGTAGGAGGAGACTTGGCGTCAAACAACTTTTATGTTGGAAAAGGTTTAAGAAACGCCCACTGACGGATTCTGCTAGCGACTGAGGCAGCCACGAAGTGAAGGGCTGTCCAGACAGAAAGGTTTAACAAGGCAACATAGCCAGGAGAGGCGGCAACTTACGCACGAGCAACCCATACTCATTACAATGCCCTTCTAAACAAAGGTATTTGTTGGATAACAAAACTGATAGAGCCTCAGAACCACTTTTAAAATATATTTTTAATTGATTTTCAACATTAACAAAATAGAAACTACAAGTATTCATAAACACAGGGATTACTATAGAAATCAAGAGCAAAATGGAAGGTAAAACCCATGGAGCAAAATAATACAGCAAACTTCCTGATCAGGGTAGTTCATTTACGACCCTTTGGGACTACCCTTTTAATGCTGCATTTGCCAACCCAATCCCCTCAAGGTGTTTTGGACTACAATTCCCATTGGCCCCAGTTAGGATGCATTGGAGTGAACCTGAACGATCTTTCTGGAAAATGTGGTGTGAGAAATGCAAGCAAGGCTTCATGCCTACACTATATGTGACCTAGATTGTGTGCTATTGTCCTTCAAGAAAGACTTGAGCTATCCTCCAAAAGCAGCACCTGTTCTTTTGCATATACACTCCTTTCCTTGGTTATGATTCTGTAAATAGACTCTTGAAAGAGCCAGCAATAAGATATGTTCAGATTTCAAGTGGATTGTCCTTGTCTTACAGATACATCTTGCATGCTTGTGTTGTACATGGCCCAAGGAGGATTACAATATTATCTGCCAATGTGATTAAGTGTTCAAATAAAGATAGCCGATTGTTGTTCTGCTATTTAAACTGAAAGCTCCTAAGTTTGCCATCTGGCAAGCAACCCTGAATTTCTTAATATCTGGTTCAGGAACCGCTAGAAACATTTATTGTTAATTCCTCTTACACAGTAGGTGATCCATTGACTGAAGACTATTTTGTTTTCAAGTTTGGCTTGGAAGTAATAGTTTGGAAAAGCAGAACACAGCCTAGCTGGATGCACTGAAATATAAACAAAAACCTTTCACCTTAATGGGCAAAGTATAGTTATACCTCTCCCCTCTGATACTTCTCCCCTTACTCTGCCAGTGGTACTTAAACTAGGCCCATGTCAAATGCTACTTGAATGTTGTGGTGGTCCCTGTACTACTTTGCTAATGCCAAGGTAATTTGACTCCTTAGTTTTAGTTATTAGTTTGTTCTTATTACTTACACTTAGAATTTGTCTTGTATCATGCATTATCTTTTAAACAAAACAAAATGGCACACTTGCAACATTTCACTAGTTGCAATCTAAACTGTTAAAACACATTGTTTCTCCAAAATATTATTGGTAAGTGTAGTTTACCCCTACAATTGCCAGCACTCTATTTTTTTAAAAATACTACGGTTCCCATGATTATTTGGTGGACATAATATGCTTTAAATGTATGGTGAGTGTGTGTGCAGCCCTGCTTGGAGCTGCTTTGGTGAACAGTTACCCAGATCATATTTCTTTTTGTTCTCTGGCGCTCTGAACAATCTAAAAATATTCCTCAAACAGGAAATGTTTTTCATTCTGTTATGTCATTTGCTTCCCATAGGAGGTATTATATCTAATTTATAGAATAAACTTTTGGGCTGGATTCCCATAGGAACCTAGGTACAATTGATTGTTTGGCATACTACCCAAACTATTCCTCTGTTTTTCAGAAGATGCATAATCAATGTCAAAGGGATTATAAGCATTAGAAAGACTGGAGCCTACAGAATGTAAGGCAAGAGGAAATAACCATACTTGGTTTGCCTGCAGGTTAAAAACAAGCACCAAAGAACTTCTTAAATTTCACTTTGAAGGCATTTCTTGGCTAAACTATGAACAGAGTTTTCTCTCATCATATCTATATCTTTTTGCCCAGTTTCAACCACATTCTCATTAGTGGTACATCTTTTGTCTATGTGTGTTTTCAGAGACTTAACTTTTTATTACAACATCTTGTTTGAAAGAGGGATATATTGATAGTTTTGAATGTGGATGGCATTCCTTTGAACCAAAGGATCTTATCCAAGCAGCTGTGCTGCTACTTCATAATCTCATTTGAAAATACGCATTTACTCTTGTGGCTTTAATAGTATACTTGCTATTTTCCCTGAGAGTTTAACTGTACATCTGAAGTCCTGCAATAGCTGGATGCTGAAGCAAGGATGCTATGGGGTGATGGATGCCTGGTAAAGTTTACATGGTTTGATGCAATGTTCAAAATTCGCCAGGTGCCAGGTGTGTTTTGCACCTGGCTGTCAACCATTTGCAACCAAGTGAAGATGCCTGGGCACCAGGATGGCTCCTGATGTCTCCACCATCTGATGGTACATGCCTGGGGATCCTTGGATCTTGACTGTTTTCATACACCAGCATCACATCCTGTGGAATTCTATCTGTTATATTTTATCTGCACAATCAAAATGAATTTCAGGAACCAAAAAGGGTGACTTCTTTAGACAGTATTGGTCTGGCTCAGTTCCCTTTCCCCATGGTTTTCTTCCATCGGATTCTGTTATCATTGGTCTCGCACTTCTCTTCCAGGGAGAACATGGAGAACTGAACTACTGAGGTCCTAAGGAATTTCCTTTAGTAAATTCCAACAATCATGAGGTTGAAAGCCTTGTTTGAATATTCATCCAGCTAGACCTTTTGTGCAGGCAGTAACTGAGTTCAGCTGAACCCTGCTGCTTAGAGTCATGATCAAACTTTGTTTATTTAACCCTGGTCGTGTATTAAGCGGGCCTCAATGACAGCCATATTATGAGTCATGTTTCTTTACAGCAGTGCTTAATAAAGTCTTAAATTCTGCCTGGTTATCTTTTATTGCTAAGAAAAATAGATTAATCTTTGTTTTTAAGGCCAAACTAGATGTGATGGCAGAAGCTATCTTTTTGTTCACATGTCGGCATATTAAGCAATGTGATGTCTAATTTTAACCTCAAAAGACATGCCTTAGTAAGTGGAGCTGAATTCTGCTTTTCTTTGCTGCAGTCTATTGTCTCTTTTACCACCTACCCTAAAGGATTATTGTTTTGTGAACAGGGGGAAGCAGAATAACATTCATTTTTCATATGAATTGCCTGCTACTTACCAAGGATCACAATTAAAACAATAAACTTACAAAAGATAATAAACAGTTAAAATAGAAATCAACTGATAACATTACATGCAGAAAGTAAGCAAGAATTTCTGAGTCAAAAACCTGAGTCAAAATATATAACCTTGTGTTTTCTGACAGTCCCCAGAATTGGGCCAGGCAAATATCAGAAGGCAGAGAGTGTGGGAACCACAAAAAAGGCCCCCTGGAGGTGATGGAATCACCAACAAGTTATTTCCTGTTGATCTTTCCAGGCGAGCACTACCCTATTCTGGACAGGTTTCATACACCAAACAAACATAGTACCGCCATCTATCTGGATTAAAATTGAATTTGTTGGCTCTTATTCAGTCTATTGCCACCTCCAGACACCTTGATTGAGATGCAACGGAGGAAGCTGAGTGAAGCAGCATTCTGATGACACCTTAATGCAAATCTCCTGATGACGTCTTTCCACTGCTTCATATATGTGTTGAAAAAATGGGTAACGAAATGGAACATGCTACAGCTCAACTGTGATGCTGTTGAGATTTCCCTGCTACCTTTTGTAACCCATGGGACTCAATCCTGCAACTAGGAGTGGAACTTTGGTAAAGCCATGTCCCCAGTCCCCATCTCTTTATTCCAATAGGATACTGTGGTCCATGGTATCAAAATCCACGAAGAGGTCAAGGAGAACAGGCAGGATAGCACTCTCCCTGTTCTCAGGGGCCCGTGGTGTTTCATGCCATGATAACAAACACATCAAAAAATAAGACCTGGGATATCTTCTCAGAATTTGTTATAACTGCAGTTTCTAATTCTATATGAATCTGAATAATTTTATCCTCAAAGTGCTTCATAGAAGTATCACAGCAGTCTTCTGACAACTCACTTAATCTTCCCCACTGGCCAGGTGTAATAAGCCTATTTACAATTTGGAACAGCTCTGTTGGACAGCTACTCAGTGGAGAAGTAGTAACCTTTATTCACCACTAGATGGTAGATTCAAATAATATACTCACCCAGTGGGTTTTCCCCCCCTAAAAATATGTTTAGGGGTGCTCTCATTTTGACTCAAGAAAATCACTGAGAAAGGAAATAAAGCTGCCATCAGAGGTGGTAACAACAAAACTGACCGATCACCGTGCTATATTCCAACTCCTACTTCACACATTAAACTCTCGCTTCCGTCTGAGACTCAGGAAACACCATGACAGGAAATGAGGCCGCCATTGGGGGTAGCAATGGAACTGATAATTCTCCATGCTAGAGAAGAAACTAACAATTTAATTTTTTAAAGTTTCTTTTCCCATTAGATTCACAAAATGTTTAGGGGTTTGCATCACCCCAGAAAAAAGCACTGCTCTCACCTATCTTAGATCAGGTTCTCGTCAAGATTTTTTCCACTTGCACTATGGTGTGATCACATCAATTGTCTTATGCCTCTTGCCATTCCACAGCAAGACTAGAGCCCTGATAGGAACAGGACTGGAGCCCTGGCAGGATTTTAGCCAGAAAATCCTGCAGAGCCTTCAGGAATCCTTTGAATTTCATAGGTATCCAATAGGTTCACCACCTTTGCACCACAACTATGTCGACCTTCACCAAGCAATGGTCTATCTATGACAACAGTCTGAGTACCATCTACTCCCTTTAATGTTTTTAACAGATCTAACCTGCTTGGTCTCCAAAACTGACAAAGGTGTGTTGGGCCTCTGATGTATTTGGATAGCACCATGGTTGTCATGGAGACCATGACAGTCCTGATCTGTAAGGCTAGATGCCTTCTTGATGGGAATGTTGAAATCTCTTAACACAGCAGTGCACTGAAAAGACCAACTCCTTTGTTGCCCCTCTACATGCCTTCCTTGCAAGGGAGCACACGGTAAAGGGCCGCAGATGTTGAATTGAGCACAAAAACTAATTGTTAGCCAGTGCAGTCATGTCATAATTGGTGTTATGTGCTCAGACAGTCCTGCCCCAGTCAGCTGCCTGGTAGCTGCACCAGCTGCAGTTTCCAAAGCGTATTCAAAGGCAACCCTACATATAGCATGTTGCAGTCATTCAATCTAGAGGTGAACAGAGTGTAGACAGCAGACATTAGGCTATTCTTTTCCAGGTAGGAGTGTAGCTGGGCCACCAACTGAAGCTGATGGAAGGCACTCTGCACCACCACCACCACCACAGCCTCAAATGGCTGCACTGGATACAGAAGTCCTCATAAGCTATGTGAGTACTCCTTTCAGAGCAATCTGGATAGTGAGATGCAAGGGTGGGGAAGAGGAAGTTTTATGTATGGCAGGAAGTATATGCTACTAAGATAGCCTTCATAAACCTGGTGCCCTCCAGCAAGTGTTGGCTGCAGCTGATTGGAATTGTAGTCCAAAACATCTGGAAGGCACCGGATTGGTGAAGGCTGTGCTAAGATATCAGTACTGATTTAATTCTGCTACCATTGGTGAGAAATGGTGTTGGAACTCTGTGAAGTTAAGCCAAGAAAAGGCTATTTGGACCATAGAAAATACACATTTCTTGTCCGAGGCATCTTATTGTTTCCCTTTATGGAAACTTAGCTGTCAGCTGGTAATTAATACATGTGATTTGTTTTGAACACTGATGAAAATCAGCAGCTCAGTGTAGTCCCCACCTCTCCCTTAATTGGCATTAATTAATAGAACATTTTTAGTTCAGTATTACATTTGGGCTATACTTGTGTTCAATAATTGAATTCAGCATGCAGACTTTCAAAGACTGGCAGTGCTCCAAGCACTGAAAAGTCCTGTTTTGTAAATTTAAACTCCAGCTATTTTTAGCTTTTATTTTTAGTTAAAACATCTCATCACTACTGGCATGAAGTCAGAATGATCTTGAAACTTATGGCTGGGATCTGTTCATTCTCAGCACTAGGGCCCCGTTTGTGCAAGCAGCAGTGTAGTAGATATATTAAATGTAGCTACATAAAAGTGAATGCAGAGGAGGAAATACGATTTGTCTCTTTTCAACTAAAAATAGTTTGGTGTGAGGTTAAAATACCCTGGCAAGATTAAATAGAATTTATGGGGTTAACAACCTTAAATACTGGAATTGTCAGGCTGACTGATCATCTTCTTCATGTATGGTGGGAATGCTCATCAGCTGTACTTTATTGGAGAACAATTTCACAATGTCTCTCAAATACTACAGACTGCATTATAAGACCTAGTGTTTTGATGGTTTTGTTTAATGTGGTTGGAAATGAGGTGGAGAGGCCTCTAAGATTGTTAGCTTCTATCTTATTAATGGCTGCAAAGATCATGTGGGTAATGAAATGGAATGATCAAAATTCCTGGCCACTCTCTGGAAGATGGCTTTGACTAGGTGGCTAAACCAGGTAAAGGTAGCTGATGGGTCTCGAACCCTTGGTGCGTTAGGGACTTTCCTGCATGCAAAGACAGGCTCTGGTGCGTTAAGCGGACAATATCAATAGTGGGTCCAATGGTCAAAAAGTTGGTTTCTGAACGTTCTGTAGAGGGAAATGAGGGGCAGATGGGGCTCGCCCATCTGGGAGAAGAAAAACAATGATCCTCAACCTCTGCTGCCTTGTGGGATATCTTTGGGAGAAGAAAAGGCTAAGGAGTAAACCCTACACAAATCTGGAGTAGAGTCCCTAAGATGGTTGGGTGACATATTGCATGCCTCCTTCTGGCAACTCCTGCAGCCTGGCTGGTTCCAAATGTATTGTTCTGCTTTCCTTTGGACCACATCAGCAAGACTGGAGGGGAGTCTTGTTGTCTTGGCAGCCCAGGACCGCTATACACATTGCTTAGGCTTGCGTGCCTGGGAGGTCACTTTGGTGCTGCTAACACAGCAAGAGCAACACAAGCAGGGCCGTAGTTAGGGGGTGGTGAGGTGGGCCCTTGCCAGGGGTGCGGGGGTGTGTGCACAAAATCGGCTTTTAAAAATTGTCCATAAATATGTCTATAAAAATATTGACTATTGCCTCATAAGAAAAGGTTTTAAATAAAGGGTGAATTGAATGGGGAGTGGGTTTGGAGGAGAGGTAGAAAGAAGAGCTAATTTGTCAGTGGCTAGGGGGTGCAATCGGGACAGTTCTGCCAGGGGTGCAAGATCACCTAGCTACGTCTCTGAAGACAAGAGGCAGCCATTACAAGTTACTGGTCTCTGCAGCCACAGCAGAGCCACAGCAGGCACTGTGATTCTCCAGCAGTTTGATGTCACCTGAGAGGCACACTCCATTGTCTTTTGAGGCAAACGGATGCCAAATGATGTGCCTGGAATCTTTGAATGTCATTTATCCCAGTCTGTATTTGTTTTGGATTTTATATGAAATTGTTTTATATATGTTTGTTGCTAAATCACTTTGAGGTGTTTTATTTGAAGCTATTCATAACTAGAATATAATCAATCAATACATACTTAATAGTTGTAGGCTACCTTGAAAACACGGTGAGTATATCAAAAACAAAGGCTAGGAGAAGAGAAATGACCTTACAGATAATGGTATGGTGGCTTTCAATTCTCCTTATTCCGCATTTTTTGCAATACATTTAAATGCTTGGGCTCCAGGCCCTGCTATCCGCTAGAGGATGTGCAGAAACAGAGTCCAATATTGCACTGAGAATATTTGAGTTATATCAGGGAACAAAAACATCGTAAATCATCAGTCATTATATATATATATTTTAAACCTCAGGGAATTCAGAGCTGAAAGTTGTCATGATTCCTAAATATCTTTCCTTAACTGAGCCAGGGAATACTTGGTTCAGATTCATGAAACATTTTTTAGCTAGTAGAGTGAGGTGCATGTTGCATGGTATCATTCTCAACAAAACGTTGCTTGTTTCAGTGGCAATTTTATCTTGGCAATAGTTCAGTAAGTTGGATCACATATTGGGGTTGCCTACTTTTCTCCTAGGTGTAGTTGAGTAAGCAGTCTAATTAACATGTGAAGTGGCAGTATACTTTTATCTGCAGAAGGTGTCATGGGTGAAATCTGTGAAGTGTATGCAACAAAGTAATTTGCTACCTGAGTAAGCTGCAAAGGTCTGAAGGTATGCATAATGGAATTTAATAGAACAGACCTTTGCTTCATCTCATAAATATTGACTCTTTAATAATAAGATAGGTGGGAAATTGGACGGTCACTTCTTCCTTTAAGTTTCATTCTCAGTAGCTTGGATCAGTTTTTCTGACAAACTTTGTCTTTGGAATTTTAGTATGTTTTGTTTATATGCACAGGGAACCACCTTGCCAATGATCTCACCATACCACATATCCAGATACTGTACAGTTTTGAAGGCTTGCTAATCAGTGATAGTTAGTAGTAGTTGTTGCATGACTTTGAGACATTTGCTCGTTTATGGATGAGATGTACAGAGAAAGTGAATTGCTATTAGTTTCTTGCATATTGGTTTATATATGTGTGTGTGTGTGTGTGTGTGCATGTGTGTGTTGTAGTCAATACTTTGTAAAGCCGTACGAATATTTCTAATGCAACTACCAATATCAATAGGCTTTATTCACAGAGTTGTTTCTGGCCCTGTTGGACATGCTAATTTTTCATGTCAGTCTGCAGCTGGAACTTCTTATCCATTTGGATGCCATTTTCCTTTGGCTCACCTTAAGCTCTGTGAAATTTCCATGCTTCAATTGATATGTCAGAAAAGTACATGTGAAATAATGTGTTATGATGTGAGTGGCTGCATGAAAACAATGGAGATCTAGTATAATGGGGTGGGGGTGGGGAGATGGATTTTTTTTTTTATTGCTTACGCCTTTCTGTTCCCTCCTGAAGGCCAAGGGTACTAACAGCAAACAAAGAAAAAGAACAAATTTGAAACATCAGAATAATGATAAATCATAGAATCTTAAGAGTCACAATTTAGCACGAGACAAAAGCCAAGCATCTTTTCCTCCATAATTAACTTTTATTGATAAAATAATAACAAAAGTCAGCTTTACAGAAACATGGAATGGAATAAAACAACAACAACAAAATAGAAAGTATTACAAAGGGATATTAACTGAGGTGGAATACTCATTGGTGTAGAAAGATATCACAAGTACATAAGCAAAGATACAGTGTTTTACTTTGCATCAGTGTTTCCCAATGTGGACCCCCTTTTTCCCAAAAGCCAAGCCATGGACCCCCTACTTTTGAAAAAATTTTATATCTCCTTGGTAGTTTTCGTAATGTTAATGGTGCTGCAGACCCCCTGGGTTCTGCAGACCATGTTAATACCCTGGGGTATGCAAACTACCAGTTGGGAACCATTGCTCTTGATAAACGAGTCCTCTGTAGAGCAATACCTGAGGGACCAGAGGGCTAACATGCAAACAGAAAAATACATAATGTGAGAATGGATACTACACAGTGTCACAGTGGTCTTATCATGTCCACTCAAAAATAAGTCCCACTAAGTTAAATGGGGTTTTACTCTGTAAATCCTATAGGATTGCAGCCAAAATCTTTTATATTCAGAAAAACAATTGGTAACAATTCCAATTTGATGATACAGTCTAATAAGCGCATAAAAGCATTACAAAACAAACAGTACTCTTTCAAAGCTACTAATATTAATAAGCATAAAAACACCACAATAATTCCTGTATTATTAAAAAAAATGTTATGAAAGGAACAATGAACAGAAGAGGCAACTTGAGTATGAATATTTATATTTATGCTTTATGTATGAATTTAACAAGGCAAAAATAAGGAATGTGTCAAGAGCTAAGCTACAATAAATATTATTGACAAATGCTAGCTATAATTTCTTGAAGGGGGTTTAAAATGCATAAGTGACTGCCGGTTCTGCATTTTATCCAAAGTCAGCCTAGTTATCCCCACTGCCACAGATTTTCTTTTCAAATTGCCTCCTAGCCTCTAACC